CGTAACGATTCTTGTTGTTGTTGCTGCTGCTGCTGTTGTTGCTTCTGTATGCGTTTCTCTTTAGTTGTTATCGTTGCTGGCAAACTTGCGTAGGCATTTGAATTGCGCTTGAATTCCCGGCCTGCTGCTTGTTCTTTGCCGTTCATATTGCTCGCATTGCCGTTCAGCTGTTCTTTGGGTCAGTGCTGCAAAATGACAATTCAAATCCTGTAAATAAACAAGCGGACGCAGTGTTGGTAAGCAGCCAATTGTGGTAGGTCAGGTTTGGCAAGTTCTGCTAGAGATGCGCGTGAGCGAGAGAACAGTGACTGTTACAGCATTAACAGCTGTAAGGGAATAACATAAGATGTTAAATAAAATTAATGCATACAATAAATTAACATTTTGCAACTTTAGCCTTAAATAAACTAACGTTTGAGCGCGACTTGAGTTTATTGACTGATCGACAGTTATAATCCTGCGAATAAACAAACAAACAGTTGGTCAGCAACGAATTGCGGCAGGTCAGGTTTTGCAGGTTCTGTTAGAGATGAGCGTGAGCGAGACAGCAGTGACTATTACAGCTGTAACAGCTGTTATAAATGTTAAATATTATTGGCATATTTGGAATTTTTGCACTAAAATATATATAATTAATTAAGTAATACAAAAACTGTTCATGCATGAACAAAAAAAAAAGGTTTTAACTCCATAACGCAAGCCTTGAATAGCTCAAGTTTAGCGACTTGTGACTGCGACTCGTGATAAATCACAGGCGCAGCGCCAACAAAGCTCAGCTCAAGCCTTAACACCTGAACGCCTGATTGGTGTTTTTTTTTTTTTTCATTTAAATTGTTTTCTTCGCATGATAGCCAAGTGCAATCAAATGCAAACAAGCGCGTGCTTACAGCTTTATGATATGTTTGCACGTGAGTGGACCCTAGGCGACAGGTAGCAAGCAATACAAACAGCTGTCCATAAATTGTGACAGCCGTAAATAGCAAAATAATGCACACATACACATACAAATGGAAAATAAAGAGAAAAATAAATAAAAAGTAGAAGTAAAAAATGAAGCAGCGCGGCGCGTGTTCATTCAACTGATCAGGTGAATGTACTTCCGTTAATAACTTTTGTGCAGGTAAATATATATATATATATATATATCGATAAAATAGTATATATTGCTGCTGATTATTGCTAAAAGGGAGTGGCTTGTTTGCGTGTGTGCCAAAATCTCTGTGTGTGTGTGTGTGTGTGTATTACATATACATACACAGCTTCACATATACATATACACATACATATATTTGCAGTTGTATTTGTCTAGAGCAGCGAGATCGCGATCGTTGGCACGTTACCTCGATTAAAGCAAATGTCTTCTCTCATAGCACCAGCAGCAGCAGCAGCAGCAAATACAAGAGTTTCAAGTCTGGTTTTCTTGTCGTTTCAGTATATTTTTTTGTATACATATATAACCGTGACCTTCTCAGAGTTTTTGTCGCTGCCAGTGTGGCCATAAAATTTGAACACACACACACACATACACAGAGACACGAAATAAAGTCAGCCTGCAAACGGAGCACAGAGAGATCTCAGCTTTTAACACACAATTGCAATGAGGCCTTTTGTGTGAACCTACCCTCCTATTTAAGCTAATAGAATCAAGCAGCAGCAGCAGCTGTATATATTAATTGTTGACTCAAGAGGTCAAATTATTTAGCGAACAGCTGCCATTGATCGCAAATTCACACACAAAAAGCTGCATGCGGCAGTAGCCTCCTTCTGCTGCTTCTCCTCCTCCTCCTCTTCACTCTTAAAGATGGCCTACCTACCGTTAAATTTCGCTCCCGTTTCGTATGCGAATGCGAATACCGAAATGTCGAGTAAATGTAAACAAAGCAATCAGCAATTAGTGCTGCCACACGAAAAACTTTAACAGCGGGGTGGGGTATATGCAGGCACTTGACCTTCATGCAAAAATGGTAAACACCCCAAGCCCCAGCTGCAACTTGTTTTTTTTTTGTTGTTGTTGCAAAAATGCCACAGCCACTTGCAATTTACAATGAAATTGACATTCAGCAAAAATCAAATAAAACTAGTTAATCAACGGGTTGAGACGCTGCGATTAATACACAGACACAACCATTCACACACTAACGCACGCACCGCAACAGCTAGAGCGAGCGTCAAAGAGAGAGAGAGAGCGAGAGAGTAAGACCGCAACACACGTCATTTGATCATGATGCTGCTGGCAGCAAGTTGCCATTTTGGCTATTTCTAGCTAAAAGTCCAAATGGCATTATCCAGGAATCTGGCTTTTTATAAACTAAACTTTCCTTTTCGTTACAATTTTACTGTACTTAATTTTTAAAAGTTGCCATTTTGGCTATTTCTAGCTAAAAGTCCAAATGGAATCTGGCTTTTTATAAACTAAACTTTCCTTTTCGTTACAATTTTACTGTACTTAGTTTTCAAAAGTTGCCATTTTGGCTATTTTTAGCTAAAAGTCCAAATGGAATCTGGCTTTTTATAACTTTCCTTTTCGTTACAATTTTACTGTACTTTGTTTTTAAAAATTTCTCTAAGTGTGGAAAATTTGTGGACGCCTGCATGTGACAAATTTCATTATTATGCGAACGAATTCAAACTTTGTTTAAAAACTTGGTGCAAAAATTAAGTGTTTACGTGTTTCGGGGATGGGGGAAAATCTACCTCAAAGGTGGAAAATTGCGCGTCAAACGAACGTACAGAAATCGTTTTTCGACGATACAAATCTATTAAAGTATTCGAAAAGTCTTTACCCAACCTTTTTTTTTTGTTATATTCAATCGACTTAAACTTTTTAAAATTGTTATAAAATGATTCACGGAATGCGGAAAATACACAATGTTGTGTAACGTGGCCTGAGGTAGTAGGCGAATATTTTAATTTATTTGCCAATGGAGTACGTGGCACGAAATGGTAGAAAAATATTTTAATATTTTAATAATGGAAAACTTGGACGGGTAACACCCGCTATTAATATTTACATTGACTACAAATACAGATGGCAATTGCTAGCAATGTGCTTACATATTCTTAGCCTTTTCTAGCTGTTTTCTTTACTTTGCAACTTCTACCAACACTGGATGCTGCTGCTGCTGCTGCAACAAATAGCGAGAGTTTTGTTTAACTGTTTAACACTGTATTTATGTGTCGGTGTGCAACAAAACTGGTACTAACTGCAAAATGAGCGTCTATTATTATTATGTTAACAGAAAAAAATATTGCAAGAAAAATGCATGCATGCTTTGCACGTTTTTTATGTACCATTTCCTTTTCTTTTTTTTTTTTTGTTTATTAATGGGCAACAACCACTGCAGACACGAGAAAACAACAGGGAGTACACGACGGCAGGGGGTTGGAGCTGGAAACGGGCGTCAACTGCATGCATGAGTAATAGCGTGGCAACGCTGGCAAACACATTTCGTATTGCAATTGCAATTAAGATCAATATTTAAGTAATGCGCCGGGTCGCAGCCAGCGTTTGCCAATTGCTAAGCAATTGAAAAACAGAAGAGTGCACTAACACACACACATACAAATGTATATACAATGTGAGAACGCGGAATTTATTATTTATTTACATACACACACACACACGTACATATGTATGCCAACGTTATAACGGGAATCGCTGCGCTGCTACTGCGTTGTTGAAATACTTTTTGTAAAACAAACACACACACACACACACACACACACAGCCCTGACCGATGAGCGCGTCCCATTTGTATGAAATATAACTGTTCTTATGGCAACCTAAAAGCACAACAAAAACTAAATTTGCTGAGCTGTTGATTTTTTTGTTTTTTCGGCACAAGCTTAGCAGTTTTTGGGGGAATACCTTGGGGATTGGTCATACTGAGTTGCTGGCGCCACCTGACGTTTGACACTAAAAACCTGCCGTTAAAGAAAAGAATACGCAACCACACGATGTTGGATCCTCAATTAAGCAAGAGTTGTACACACACACACACACACCCGATACATACACACGCATATGCTGATAGAGAGATTCGTGTGCGTGTGTGTGTGCGTGTGTATTGTGCTTATTTCGAAACGAAAACGCGGCCAGTACAAAATTTTTGGAAGATATTTTTTTTTTTTCGTAGCGTCAACTTACGAAACGTATCAAGAGTAACAGGCACCAGCAATCGCACAAATACAAATGCAATTGAAAGGGGAGCGCGTTGGCGTTGCTGCTGCTTCTTTTGCTTCTTCTTGCCACACAATCACAATGTTGCACTCTAACTCTCACTCACTATCTCGCTTGCGCTCGCATACTTAGTAGCAGCAGTTAGCATAATGCACACACGCACACAAATATGTATATACATGTAATACTCACACACGCACACATATACACATAAACACATAAACGAGCGCGCGTATTTGGTATCTTGTATCTTGATTTCTTCTAAATTTATCTGCCACAATTCTTTGCGTTGTTGTTGTGCCCGGTACGTACAAACTTCAACTTGACTAAACAAAATAATTATTGTGCGCACTTTTTTTTTGAATTCATTTCAAGATCGGAACGCGCGAGACACGTCCGCTTCGTCAAGAAACAGCCAACTGACGAGTTTGACAAACAAATATAACAACAATATAACAGCTAATATAACACTAGAAGCGCTAGCAGTGCAACTAAAACTGTCAGAAATTATGTTACTTTACAGTGCAATATTCCCCAAACTGTTGGTTACTAATGTTATTGCCTATCGATAATACATTTTTTAGACGCACTTAACAGTGGCTGCCAACTTAAATCGTTAATTTTTTATAATTGTGGTAAAATGGTGCAACTCACAAATTGTTTAACGACAAATAAGCTTAGATCGTAAGCTGTCTCTCTTTTTATTGATACAAAATATTTTCAAAATGCAAGATTGTAAAATTAGTGATCGATAAGCTTCATCATCGACTTAAAATCGCTAACAGCTGTCGTCATTAGCAGCATGTAACCAGAATGTTAAAATGCAGCCGCTGTTATTGAACAGCTGTTCCATGCACCTCTGTTTGCCGCACAAAATATAAAATAAATTAAAATGGAATTAGAGGGTTCCGAGTTGGGCACAAAGGAGTACTGGGAAACCAGCTACACGCGAGAAATCAAAAACTACAAAAGCCACGGCGATGTGGGTGAAATCTGGTTTGACGAGGACTCTCAACAGCGCATTGTAGACTGGCTGCTGAAGCAGGAGACCCTCAATAAACAAACAGCACGTGTGCTCGACTTGGGCTGCGGCAATGGTATGTTCCTGATCGCTCTGGCCAACGAGGGATTCACACAGCTCACAGGCGTTGACTACTCACCCAAGGCAATTGAGCTGGCCAAGGGCATAGCCAAGGATCAAGCGCTGAACATCAGTTACGATGTCGCGGATTTGACCCAGAACGTTTGCCCAACGCTGGGCACCTACGCCATTGTCCACGACAAGGGCACCTACGATGCGGTCAGCCTGTGCCCAGACAATCCCAAGGAGCAGCGTACAAATTATCTGGCCACTGTCGCACAGTTGCTGCACGACAAGAACAGCCTGTTCGTTATCACCTCCTGCAACTGGACGGAGGACGAGTTGCTGCAGAGCTTCGAGCATCTTTTTGTCAAATATTGCACCATACCCACGCCCACATTCAAATTTGGCGGCAAGGTGGGCAATGTGGTTACCTCCGTAGTGTTTAAGAAAAAATGAACAATAAATCAAATGCATTTTTTACCAACACTAACACAGTCAGAAGGTTATTAACAGTGTTGGCAATTGTCGCTAAAAATAGCTAGAAATGGCTAATTTTACTGATTACAAATAAGGTTGAGTGATGCCAAAGAGTAGCTGATGCTAAGTAGCTAAGTCTAGCTAGAATTAAGCTGACTTGGCAACACTGGCTCTTAAGCCTTTCATGAAGGTTGCACTTAAAAACACACTGACTGGGCAGCACTCTTATCTGTAAATGTAACTGCATGCACAATGATAATGCGAGAGAGGGGGCGGGGGGTATATTTAACATTTATATATATATTTATTTATTATTGTTGTTCCATTTTGGTGTACTGCAATAAATCAGCGGACTAATAACACAATGATTAACAAGAAATAGACAGCTGTGGTGAATTCGTGCAGCCGAACTCTATAAATACCCTTGCAGGCAAACAGCATGTTAAGTATATGTTTCAACTAGCTTGTAAATGATATGAAAATAGAAACTGGGCGAACTAACGAACTATGTCTAAGAATAACAATAGAATTTTGGCTGTTCGTGACATTTGTAAATATTTAATAGGGTTCAATGTTTTAAAATCAATAAGCCCATTTCGATCTATATATGTTCCGTTAGTCATAGCTGTGCTGCTAGGGTATTCTAAACAGTTGAGATGATTTCTTTTAAATAAAAGCTCACACAATACGCTTACACATTTGATGCACAGAAACAATGAACATTTCAAGTGCGTTAACTACCAGTTAGCAAACGATAAACAGCTGATAGCTGATAGCCACGCCCACCACCATCCCGAACGGTTGCTTGGGCGTTACAAGTACATAGTAGACATGAATTATGCTAGGGTCTTTCAATTAAGGACATTGCTTCAAGAGAGAAAGGTGCGCACAAATCCTTTAATATCCGCACGACACATGGGACATTTGGAGACGCTGGGCGCGCAATTGTTACAGGTGGCTGCGAGCAGTGAGAAACAGATTCGTTTAGTTCAGATGTACTCGAAGATTGGATTTAGCACTTACCCAAATGTCCGCAGGGCAGGAAAACAATACCGACATCCTCGTCCAGACACACCTTGCACAGGCGCGCATCCTTTAACAGGCGATTCTCCTCCTCGAGCGACAGATTGCCATTGGGACTTGAACTGTTCACTGCAGCAGGCTCCACTGCAGCAGCAGCTTCAACCACCGCTGGCTTGGGTGGCTCCAGTGCTGCCGCTTTACTCGTGGTGGCCGAACAGTCAATGGGCGCTGATGGCTCGGTAACTTCCAGTGCGGCACTGGTGCCGCCTGCATCATCAAATATGGCATGCAACAGATCGTCGAGCGTATCGTAGGCACAGCCCGAACTGGACAGCTTTCGGGCAATGGTGCTGCGCACAATGCCCACATCTATGCCGAGTGCCAGAGCCTCACAGGCGGGCGGCGCGCACATGGCGCTGCCAATGCTAACGGGTAATTGTGGCGCTGTGGCAGCCGTTGGCGATGCGGCTGCTGCTGCCGCTTTGCGCACCTGCTGCACATACTGTGGTCCCTTGGCGAGCAGCACAAATTGGCATTTTGGCGACCATTTGGCGTGCTCTTGCCAGGGTTCATCCTCCTTCTGCCAGGAGCGCAAGCCAATGTTGCAATGAAAGCAACGCACCTGATCGTCAATCTTCTGATAGTATAAGCCCGCCTGGGCCAGTGGCTCAGCGGGCTGGATATTTGTAATGGGCCAGTCGCTGAACGTGCGCAGTCGCGCCTCCATGCAGGCAAATTGGGGGCGCTGCGGCAACTTTGTTGGCTGTATGCCCAGCTCCTCCAGATCCTTGCCAGCGAACTCAATCAACGGACCCATTTGTACACGCGGACAATTGGGAAAGAAGCGTCGATGCTCCTCAAAGGCATTGTCGTTCTTCTCCCATTTGGCAATGACGCCCTTGCACCACACGCATCTCACATGATCCGATTGGTTGAGATAATAGAAACCCGCCTTGGCTAAAGCCTGTGGTGTGATATTCGGATTCTGCAAAGGTAGGAAGCTGATTAGTTGGCAATGCCTGTCAATATTAGTGGGTAAATACAAACGGGCCAATCCTTGAACGTTTCCAGACGATTCGCTTCGATCAGCAAATCCGGGCAAGCGCATTGAACCTGCTGTGTGCTGCCGCCGTCCACGACGCTGTTGCCCTCACAGTCGCTGCTCTGTCCAGCGGCGACTGCTGGCTCCACGGGCACATTTCCACAATGATTAGGTGCCAATACCATGGAGCAAATGGGCGAGGCGCGACGATGTCGCTCGCTCACTTGATCACCGTACTCCCAGTGATCGATGCGTATGTGACACCAGTTGCATTCGGCCTCCAGCCAATTGCCCGTGGCAAAGAAACCGTTTTTCACCAAATCTTCAACCTGGACGGGCGCATTTGTTGGCCACTCGATGAACGTCGCATATCGTTCGCTTTCCAATTCCAGGCGACGATCGGTCATGTTCGTGACTCACAAATGCGGATGGGCGTCGCGTGGTTCTTTTGTCACTGCTTTTAACTATGCAATGATGTAATTTGCTCAGCTGCAATTAAACAAAAGAACCAACAAAACCAACTGGCTGATGTGAAAATAAAGTTTATTGATTGCCCGCCAGTGTGACCGTTCGCTGCACTAAAATTATTGCCTACCCATTTTATAGAGATGAGCAACATCTGCCCACCTGTGACTGAAAGTTTTAGTTTTTTTCTAAAACCACAGCAACTCGTAATGAAAGTGTGATTTATTTAAAATTCTACCTCTTAATAAACATTCTGCATTGACAAGCAACAAATTAGATAACATTCACTATTTGAAAAAATGCTGAAAATGTTAAAAGTAGAGTTGGTATTAAATTGTATATTTTTAATACATGGTCACACTACATGTTGCTGTGGTAGAAAAACATATGTTTGACAGGCAAATATAAAAATCTGCATTATTCCTTTATTTAGCCCATAAAAATCATAATATGCCTTGTACTCTTCAACGTACTCATTTTTATTGAAAGAATCACTTAGAAAGACTTGCTGCTTAAAAACGTGAAAACCAAGAGCAAAACGCACGCAGTGCGTTAACGCCAGCTGATTTTGTTGTCGGGTTACTCCTTACTGGAAGTAGGTCCTTGGCTTTCTGTACGAGAACAGCTTCCTGTTGCCCTTGTGGTGGACACGTTGCACCAATGGGAACTTGATCTTGGAATCGTGGAACTGCTTAACATGGACACGACGCGTCTTTGAGGCTGGGATCGATTCCACCTTAATGATTTGAATGGAGTGGGCACGGGCACGATGACGAGCGCCCATGTCACGGTAGCACTGTGTAACGGCACCGCCCACAGTCAGGTCACGGTACTCGCGGTACATGTTGTGTGTGCCCGAACGAGAATCGTAGCGCAGCCAGATGCCAAAGTTCTTGATCTTAATGGGCGATGTTTCGTACACCTGCTTCAGGGACACAATTTCGCCGGTAGTCTTCTTGAACTTCTTCAGCTGGCGCAAAAAGTACCAGAAACGGGATTTGGCGACAATGTTGTCGGGAGCAAAGATGCGCATCTTGTACAGAGGCGTCTGTGGCTCCTTCTCGCTTGGCAGCTTGCGGCCAACGACCTCGTATTCCTTCAACTGCAAGCAAACAAATATGTTAATAAGTACAATAATTACTTTTTTGTGTAAACAAATGCGGCAAACGGGCAGTCCAACACACACACACACACGCACGCACGCACGCATACAAGCAGGCGCGTGGACAAACGTTGTTGTTGCTGTTTGTATAGGTTATGTGTTCTTTGAATGCATATTAATTCAATTTAATATAGGCTTAGTGGTAACATTAAGTCTCAGTTTAATTAAAAATTTCTCAAAATGTGCAAGCCTTCTGCAGCAGTGCCTGTTTAATGAAAGCAGGACGGCCGCATTTTCCACACTACAGCGGTTAGCCTTAATTTTGGTGTTTTTCGCACAGTAATTGCTCATTTTCACACAGTCTCTCGAATGCACTTGCTGTCAGCTATGTTTGACTGCCTGCTGCACACATTTTCTGCACAATTTACACTAGTTTTTGTTTATTTTTGGCAAATACTAACCAAACCCTTGGCTCTCATGATGACGGCTCACGCGAAAAAGGAAACGGAAAGAGATGTCAAAATGCTTTTAACACTGAACCCAAAACTTACACGCAGTGTTGCTTTTGGACGCTGCCGAGAAGCGTTGCTTTTGGACAGTCACCACAGCGTGTTATTGCCATGTTATCGACGCATTGCGCATCGCTAGACTTCTGCGCGTGTTCAATGGCTGCGAACGTCGATAAAATTGCTAAAAATTTGCTTTTCACGCGTTTTTTAAGCAACAATAACAGTAAATACACAAACCATATACAAAACTGATAGTGCGTGCAGCAAATTGCCAATGGCCCAAACCCTCGAATTAAGCAAAAAGTGAGCTCAAAACATCAGCCCATCAATAGTGAGCAGAGAAAAAAGAAAATGCAAAGCGCAATGTGAGAAGTGCAAAAAAATTTCCTATATTCACAATTTTAGTAGCGCAACCAAATTTGTGCGCGGTAAGCAAACACGCATAATTGTGAAATTCAAGCGCGTGTTTTTTTTCGCCCCTATTACGCAGCCAAATGCGCAAAAATATTAGAAAATAAAACAAAAATTGTATAAGCACTGCGACGACGTCTGGCCTATCCACACACAAGAAGGTAGACGAAAAGAGCGCAGGGCAAGGGGTGTTGTTCTTGTTCAGAAAAACGCGCGGCCGCCGCTCCGCTGGGCGCTCCATTGCCTTGCCTCGCTCAGTTGTGCAGCGAGCGTCCGTGCCGTCGGTTGTGGTTGTGACACCTCTCTCTCTCTGTGTATAGTTGTTTTGCGCGCGTAAATATTGCTGCGTGTCCGCCCCGGCAGCTGCTACTGCGAGCAGGTAAGAGAGACAGACGCGTGCTTAATTATCAAAAAATGGAAAGAAAAAAAAAATCTACTACAATTGCGATTACATGAGTTTTGATTTTCATCTACGGATTTGTTATGCGCATAATATTTAAAGTAAAATTTGCAAATTTATTTATAGCCAAAAGTTTTGCTTTTGCTTATTTCATGCTCCCTCCGCCTCCGCAGCACATTTTGCGCAATTTATTTTGGTATTTTCAATTATCCGATTCTGCTTTGTGTGCGCACTTCGTACGGCACCAGGGCTGGCGAAATAGCCACCAGCAGCAGCAGCGGCAATGAATTGAAAGAATTTGATTTTCGTTTTCCCTTTTGTTTTGCTGCTGCAAATGGCTGCTTCTAGTTTTTTGTTTTCTGTTTTTATCGCTTATCTCGCTATACAACGGAATAACGTATTAAAATATCAGGCAGCGAAATGCAAATATATTATATTTTTGTTTTCTTTTGAATCACAGCAGCTGTAGAAAGAAGCTCAACTTAGCAAACGGTAAACACAACGTCGCTGTACGGCATGCAAAGGTAATCAGATTAATCGATTTATATATATATCGATAACATGTAATAATGCTCATTGTTTTCGTTATCGCTATTGCCTTGGCAGCGCATAAATGCAAAAAGATGATGGAAACATTGGAACAGCAACAAACAAAGAGTACGCCTAACAGTGAGCCCCATGCGGGCAATACGGAAACGACGCCGGCAGCCAGCGAAGAGGATGACATTGAAGAACACTGCAATGCGTTCGAGCTGGAAAATGAGGAGAAAAACAGCAGCAGCCCGCTACGTGAGCTTAGTCTAAAAACCGTAGCTGAGCAGAATGAAGCGCAAAATCACCTAGAGAATGGACAAGATGCAGAGGAGGAGCCGGCAGCCTCGCAAGAGACGGCACAGGGTACATCTTCAACTGCCGACAGCCTAGACGAGTCATTTGAGCAGCCAGCCGAAAGTTCTGTGAAAGTGGAGTGTGAAGAGGCCGCGGAGGATACTGCTGAGGGTGGCGATGCCGAAGAGAAGCCGTCCACATTGCTCGACGCCCAAAAGTCTCCAATCGACATTAAAGTTGAAACGAAAAGTCCTTTATCCACGCTCAAAGATGATGTTGCTGACGAACCCTCCTCCTCGCCCGGCAAGCCAGATGAGCAACAGAACGGAGAGATTGCGACAACGGGTTCGCCTGCGATGCAATTTGATACGGAAAGATCGCTACATGATGAATTAACTTTAACCGATAACATAAAAGTTGAAGAGAAAAGTCCTTTGCCACGCATTAGGTCAGATGAAGAAGATGTCTCTTCGCCAGCGATTAAAATGCCCGAAGATAATTCTCCATGTGAGCAGAAGAGCATTTGTGAAACATCTTCGCCTGTGTACAGAGTCGTTGGCGAGAGTTTTTCCAATGATGAAGAGGATAATGTTTCACCAACGATAAAAGTGATTGAGAAAACATCTTCACCTGCCCACATGCAAGAGGAAGATAGATCATCATCGTTTTCATCTGCACTTAAGATCTCTGACGACATTAAAATCGAGGGCGATGAAGATTTTTTAGACCGAGTGCAAAGAAACGACGACGAAGGAGAGATGGAGCAAGAGGAGGAGGAGGAGGCGGCATCGTCACCTGCATTCAAAATCGATGAAGATGAATTTGCTTCAAGTGCAAACGCAACCAAGGAAGGGGAGCTAGCATCACCTGCAACACCAGCTGCGACGCCTGTGTATAAAATCAATGATCTTTCACCTGCCAGCATACCAGATGATGATGATGATGATGATGAGGATTCCTCACAAGGATTTAATGCTGAAATTAAAATCGAGGAAGCCAGTCCAAAGTTGCCAAAAATTGAGCGCAAATCCCCCATGGAAATCATTAAGATTGAGTCTGATTCTGAGGATGAAGATGTGCAGGTAGAGGTGGAAAATGATGTAGATGAAACTGAAGGTAATCAAACAGCTGCAACAGATTTACACCAATTGGAGCAAAGTGATAATTTGATTAAGCAAAAGCAAAACATGGAGACGCCAACGACGCCGTCGCCGTCGCCGACGCCTAAGGTGAAAATAAATGGCGCACATGCAGCAATGGAAGAACTGCAGCCGATGTCTGAGCTGGAGCAGGAGAGATTGGAAGATGCAGTACAACAGTCTGTGATAGCAAATAACGAGAAGGAAGAGCAGCTGGAGCTGCAAAACACCGGAAGAAGAAGCAGCCGCAGCAGCAGCAGCAGCAGCTCGGTCAGCTCCACCTCACAGCAGCTGGTCATTGATCAGCCCGAGAGCGAGCAGCAGCTGCGAAAACAGCAGCAGCAGCCGCAGCTGAGCCACGATCAGGAGCAGGCAAAGAATCAGCAATTGTTGCTTGCATTGAAGCGCAGGCGCAGCGGCAGCAACAGCAACAGCGACAGCGACAACAACCCAAAACCATCAGCCAAACAACAGTGCGTGGAGACGGAGGAGCAACAGACGTCGTCCTTGCTGTTGCAGCGTCTGCAGGCGCCAGCGCCGAATAGCGGCGATGTGGAACAGCAACTCAGCTGCTACAAGTGCAATGCAAACAAATTTGATAATTTTCAGCAGCTAAATGCGCATTACGCACAATGCAAGGCACACACCGAAGCGGCAGCAGCAGCAGCAGCAGAAACAGCCACAAAGTCAACAGCAGGAGTAGCAGCAGCAGACGCAGCAGCAGCAGCAGCAGCAGCAGTTGCATCAGCTATCCCAGCGCCAGCAGCTGTTGCCGTGCCCTTGACCAGTCCCGCACCTGCTACTGCCCTCAAGAAGGAGCGCTTCTTTCGCTGCGCCCGCTGCAGCACTGTGCATCAGTGCTGGAACTTTTTTCTGCACATGCGCGAGGTGCATCAGCGTTACATTTGCCTGTACTGTTCGCATGTGTTTGCCAGCGTTGAGAAACTGTCGCTACATCTGGAGAACAAGCACGACATGGATCAGCGTCATTTTGCCAACATTGAGGCGTGGCAAGCGCTGCAATCGCAAGAGGATCGCGCCCGTTATCTGGTCTGCTGCAATTGCCAGGCAAGCTTCGAGCGCGGCAGCCATTTCGATGATCATGACTGCGCCGAACTAATGCAGCCCTGCGCCCTGTGCGGCCAAAAGGCTGGCCATGCCAATGGCTGTCGCAATAGCAGCAGCACCACAGCCACCAACGCCAACAACAGCGGCAGCAGTCGCAAGAAGACGGCGGCGCGACGTAAGCGCAAGACGGCCAAGAGTAAGCAGCCGCCCAGCCAGCAGTTGGCCGAAGAGCAGCCCAAGGCAAACAATCAGCAGGAGGACGAGTCCAACTGGATGGAGACGGATGCGTTGGTGCCTCCTGAAGCGCCAGCACAGCCAACGGCATTGCCTGAAAACAACAGTAAGTGAAGGCCTGAATGGGCATAAATGTCTAGGGAGCGTACAAAGAAGCCATTTGTATTGAATTTTTGATCTTGACATCTATTTTCCGCTTAAAAGTTCTGTCTGAGCACTTTGGCATAGACCTACTTGGGCCTCTACCCAAACACATTGCTTCCACTGATTATATTTACACAAACCTGCTTGGACTTTAAACTTTGAATTTGGTTTGATCATACTTGAGAATTTAGTTAGCGCAGACAGACTCGGACAGAAATTTGATCAATGAGAATGGTTGAACAACTGTTGCATTAAATTGAAATATCTTTAAAAAGCCAACAGAAATGCATGTGTATATATTTTCACTTTTTAAATTCACTTATGCGTGCGGAAAATGTGTGAAAAACAATTTGTACGCTTCTTTTCGCATTTAACTACTCTGCTCAATGTAATTTGAACTAATCAATTGAAACAGTTCCAGCGCCAATTGAGGTTGCGCCACAAGAGGATGCGGCGCCCAAGCTGGTGGTGCCGAAGATGATGCTGCGCGTGCCGAAAGAGTTTCAGAAATCCGTGGACGCAGCGCTCAGCAGCACAGACACCGAGGAGGAGGACAACGATGAGCTGGCAACATCGGCAGCAGCAGAAGCGCCAGATGCAGCCGAATCCGAAAGCAGGAGCAGTGCGATGCCGCTGCTCACCGTGGATGCAGTGGAGCAACAGCAACAGCAATTGCAGCCCATGTCATCATTATCGGAGGACACGGAAACCGCCACCGAGACAGCGTCCACGTTTCAGGAAACGGCGCCCGCAATGCCCGCAAATGCTTCACTAAACGAATTGGAGGACGATGAGGATTCGCCAGCGTTAAAGCTGCCGTTGGTGCTGGCCGAATTTGAGCGCACCAAATTGGACATAGAGCGCACCATGGCGCTCATGGTGGCCAAGAGGGAGCTACAGGAACAGCAGCAACAGCAGCGTCAGCTGCAGCAGCAGCTGCAGCAACATCAGCTGCCAACTGAAGCCAAGCAGCAGCGCGGCCGCTGGTCCCTAACGCCGCCCGCATCCCCGCATAATAATCCCATAAATGAGACGACGCATGTGCCAAAGGTGCTGCAGGAGCAGGAACAGCTGCTGCCGACGGGTGAATCGGTGGAGCCAGCGGCAGAGCTGTTGCCTGCGTCTGTGCCGCAGCGTCGCGATACGCTGGGCAGCGAGTGCATGGAGCTCGATGATAGCCTTAATGAGGAGCAAAATACGCAGCAATCGGAGCAGACCGAACAGTCCGAGCAGTCGGAGCAACTGCAGCAGCCATTGGACGCAGAGCCAGCGGCGTGCGCAACGCCGCCGCCACCACCGCCGCCCGCCGATGGCATTGAGGTGGCCGGCGCGGATACCCACACAGTTGAGCTGCAGCTGGACAGGCCGCTGGACAAATTCGAAATGGTGGACTTTGGGCGTCTATGCCTCAAGGCTGTCTATCCCTTTTGCCTGTACTGTAACCATGCGCGGCGCATTGCTGTCAATGCCAAGCAGCTGGTGCTGCATCTAATCGCACAGCATCGCTTCACGGCCACCGTGGACAGCATCACGGCCGAGGAGCTGCAGGCGGAGACCATTGTCGCCAAGCTGAAGAGCTACTTGCCCGCCCTGGAAGGCAATCACTATTTGAATTCCATGAGTTGCTGCAGCTTGGAGCAGGGACGCTTCGTCCAACCCTTCAACGAGCGCATCTACGAGTGTTTCCAGTGCCGCTATGTGACGGCCACCCACAAGGAGCTCTACACGCACAATCGCCGGCTGCACATTAAGACGAACATCACGTGCTGCATGTGTCGCTTGAATTTCTTTAGCTACAGTGAACTGCTCTGCCATATCTGTCCGGGCATCGCTACGGGCAACGTATTCGATGTGCAATTCCGTTGCTGTCTGTGCGAGACGGCGCCGTTGGCCTCCGCGTTCCGGCTGATGGTGCATCTGCGGAAACAGCATCAGGCCTGTGATATCTGCCTGGAGGATTGCCATACCCAGGCCAAGCTCTCGGCGCACGTGTGGAAGCACAAGCTGTTGCATCTCTGTTATCGCTGCGGCATTGCGTATCGCAACAAGCAGGACATATCCAAGCATTTGTTCTGGAAGCATGGCACCGAGAGCACCAGCTGCAAGCGCTGCCTGCAGAAACGCTGGCGTCATGTCTATCACTTCTGTGTGCCCGCCACGCAATTCACCTGCGAGCATTGCCAGTTCACATTCAGTAAGGCCATCTACCTGGAGGTGCACAAGCGCCAGCATGTGGGCGATTATCGCTATGCCTGCAATGAGGAACAGTGCGAGGAGAAGTTCGTCTCGCGTAAGCTGCTGCTGAAGCATGCGGCACAGCACGAGGTCAAGCAGCTGGATGACGACGAGGAGGATGAAGAGGAGTCGTCGTCCAAGGATCAACTGACCAAGCTGGAGCTAGAGGAACAGCGCACATCGAGCGCAGCTTCAGAGCAGCCCGAAAGTAATGGCCAGCAGCTAAAGACGGAGAACGAGCCAATGTCATCGCCCAAGTCCGAGGCAGCACATCAAGTGGATGGCGGAAAACTGAAAGACAAAACGACGCAGCCAGCACTGTCGGGGGCACAGCAGGAGAAGGAGGAGCAGACGCCGCGTAAGCGACGCAAGAAGGCCAAGCGCAACAAGGCCTCGCTGGAGGACTTAAATCTGATTGCGCCCAATCTATCCGAATCGGACAGCAGCGATGATAGCGATTCAGATGCCGGACGCAGCACAGGGACACTGCAGGAGGCCCAGGCACATGGCACGCTGCCCATGCGTGCATCTGTGGATGATCTGGACATGCCTAGGATAATGCTATCGCCGGCCTCTGAGAGCGATAATGAGGAGCCCAATAAAGAGTTGGTCAAGTCAGAGACAGAGCCCAAGCTGGAGCAGCAGCAGCTGGAGTCAATGAAGCAGCAGCCGCTGAAAGCGGAAACGGAAACGGAAATGTCTGATGGGCAAAAGCCCAAGCTGGAGACGACAGATGGAGCTGGCGAGACGCAAGAAGTGCCAGATATATGGAAAAATCTGTTGCAAAATCAGCCGGCTGCAGTGGCCAAAAAGGAGCCGGAAGCCCTGGAAGTGCAGCCGACGGAAGAGCAGCTGCGTCCCACGAAACTGCATGTGGCCTGCTCCGATCATGACTATTGCAAAATGCAGCGCACGCCGCCGCCCACGCCCGTGCCCACACCCGATAAACCAGCGCAAGTGACGCCCAACAAGTCGAAGCGTAGCGCGAATGCCGCCTCCAGCGATAGCGACAGCTCCAGCAGCTCCAGTTCCAATTCAGACTCAGACAGCTCCAGTTGCTCGTGCGGCTCCAATTGTAGTTGCAGCTCCAGCGGCAGCAGCAGCAGCGATGATGACTCCGACAATGAGTCGCAAAGCTCGCCTAAGAGCCCCAACAAGAAAGTGGCCAAGAAGAGCTCGTCGGAACGCATCCAGGAATCCCAGAACAACCTCAACAACAATAACAACAACAACAACAACAGCGAGGAATATGTGAATGTGACGAGCAACAATGAGGAAGAACTGCGTCCGGCAATGCCATCGCCCAAAGCGCCGCTCTACAATGAATCCGACTTTGATACGGCCGTCTCCGACACAGATGAGGAGTTCTACGATGCACATCCGCAGAAAATGGCCAGCGAGATGCTGGCACAGAAACGTCTGGCGCTGCTCTCGGCCCAAGCGACAGAGGTGCAGCCGCAGGACGGCAATGGCAACTATGGCATTGTGGAGAACAGTCGGCCATCGACGCCATCCCTGCCCGAGGAGGCAGCTGCGTTTGCGGACAAGCGTGAGCGTGTGGCCAAAAACAAGAAGAAGAAACGTGAGCGCAAATCCACATGCAAATCGATGAGCCAGGCCAAGATGATGCCCGGTGGTGTGCCGCAAATGGTGCCGCCGCAACAGCTGCCGCTGGGCTTACCTCCAGGCGCCGCCGCCCTCGCAGAAGCCATAGCAACGCCGCAGCAACAGCAGCAGCAACAACAACAACAGCAGCAGCAGCAGCAGCAGCAACATATGCTGCTGCTGACGGAATCGCCGCTGACGCCCATCACACACCGGCCCAGCTGGCAGCCGCGCATGAGCGAGGGCAGCAGCTGCTCAGATGCCGATGGCCAGCTGAAGCGCTCGAAGCGCACCAGGCGTCCAAATAAATTCTATGGCTATACGAGCGATGATGAGAACATGAGCAGCGTGCTGGCGCCCCCGTTGCAGGTGGGCATGCAGCTAATCAAGCCACAGCCGCCGCCGCAGCTGACCTGGGCCAAGGAGGATCTGCCGACGCCGGCCAAGCAGCAGCGCAGTCGCAGCAATCATGGCGAGCATCACAATCATCACCATCATCATCAGCAGCACCAGCAACAGCAGCAGCAGCAGCCTCACCAGCAGCAGCATTCGCATCAGCACAGCAATGGCAGCTCGCGGAAGCGCAACAGACGCGCGCCACTGAGCGGAGCCGGCTCTGGCAGTGCCAGTGCCAGGCGCGGTGCCAAGCGTGTCAAACAGCAGCCGGCGACGCCAGCAGCGACGGTGACAACACCGCAGGCGGAGCAACTGCAGCTGCCGCCCATACCCACACTGAAAATACGGCCCGCTCTGCTGCCCGTCAGCGCAGCGCCCAGCGACAGCAGCGATAGCAGCTCGGACGACGAGAATGCCGAGATAAATGTGACCAGTCTGCTGCCGCCCATACAGGCGCCGTCCGTAATGATGCAGCAGCCGCCCGTGGCCGTGGCGCCGGCAACGTTGCCAACGCCGCCACCGCCGCCGCCGCCGCCTGCGACAACCGCCTTCAATCAGCCGATACCGCCAGCGCTGCTGCCAAATCCGGACTTTGCCACGCTGCAGTACTTCAAGGCGAATAATATACGATATCCCATACGACCGCCGGCTGGGGCGCGACTGGCCCGTGAGGGTGAATCGGTATATTGCTACTGCCGTTGTCCCTACGACGAGGTCTCCGAGATGATTGCCTGCGACGGTGATAATTGCCTCATCGAATGGTTCCATTTCGAGTGCGTTGGCATCATGGTGGCGCCGCAGGGCAAATGGTTTTGCGCCGAATGCCGGCCCAAATATTCCGAGGGCCTCTATCCGGGCGTCAAGGCCAAATAAACTGACGAACTGTGTACATAGTTCTAGATAAACTAGGTTAAGGTTTACAAAATCCTAAATACCCTTTACATATACAAAAACAAAAAAAAAAAACCCCAAAACAGCAACAACACCCACTACAGAATGGATTACGCTTATTAAATGTTAAAAAAAAAAATGTTCGATGTCTCTCCAAAACTTCGGATCAATACGAAAAAAAGAAAAACTATAAAAAGAAAGATTTACAAAAAAAAAAATAATTACATTTAAAGTAAATGCTAAGGGAAAAGCAGATAATATTATGGATTATATATATATACCCAGGCTCAAAGGCGTCTCTCGCGACTTGGCTGCAGCATAAACTAAGCTAATCTTAAATAAATATCTTTAATACACACACACACACACACACACACTTAAAGATATATATATATATATTATATTTTTGTAAATATTTGCGAGTTGCATATACGAATCGTATATATATATAAATGTGTATGCAATTGTACAATACTTAGCTCATGCAAGATCTATATAAACCTTTAGACTTAACTTTAACCCAGCATCAATAGTTATAAATATGATTATGATAAACTCTAATGACCTATCGCTAGTTATATGTAAACAAACTAAACAAAAAAAAAAAAGAAAAACTAAAAAAAAAACAACTAAAAGCAACGTCTAATTGCAAACGAGATGCGAGAAATAAACATTCAATAAGTGAACCATAAACTTAGCTTAATTGTGTTTCATCGATTTGGCAGATATTGTGTTTTAATTGAAATTAAAATATGCAATAAAGCTCAGCTTAAAACTATTATCAAATATTTGCTGGAACTGTAGAGCTTGTCCGTTTCAATGGATCTCTGCTTGGGCGACAATCTTTTGACCCCCTGGAAAGTTGTTATTGCTTTCTTAAAGAGACCAACTATGAGCTTAATGTGTGCTGTTTCAAATATTAAAAGTTTAACTAGCTTAAATACAAACAAAATACAGTGCCCCTTAAGATCTTAAATTTGCAAACAAACACAACAAATTATTTAACAACAAGCTAAACCTAATTGTATTAGTAGATCCCTGCTCGGGCGCCAATGCTGCAATATAACGGAAACGCCAGTGTTGAAAAATGTAACCCAAAAAAAGAACAGAATAATCACGTAGGTTGCTTAAGCTCAACTATAAATTTTACAAGCTGTACAGAACAGTAGGATATTACCACCGGATCCGTGCTCGGGCGCTAAAGCTGCAATATAAAGGGTACGCCAGTGTTGGAAAATGTGAGCTAAAATACGCATTTTACGCATTTTTAATGGAATGAAAATCAAGATGAATACTTACAAATTGAGTCAATGGGCTTATCAAAACAAACAATTATATGGAACACTTAAAGAGAGTAAACGAAATAAGCTTATTCGAAATCCGGAACTGCTACAAATTCGTTAGACCCTGCTCATGCGCAGCTATTGTAGCATAATGAAATATAAAACAGCTTTAAAAGGAATTAAAAAATGAATTAATTCAAAATATTTGTTATGCATGCACAACACTTGCCAAAACGACAGAATCGAGAAATATAGATGTATATATATATATCAATATATCATAATTTAGAGCCAATTCAAGCTAAAATGCGAAATTGTGCTAAGCGTTAACTGCAGTTGGGTTTAATATCCTGTAAAAGCATTCAAATGCAAATGCACCACCCAGCCCCACCTGATTATGTTGAAGTAAATGCAAATAAGGCACGACAATAAAATGATTGTTGTTGTAGCTGATGAACACGAACGTGTGCGCCAGGGTCATGTGTGGGGTCATCCAAGCGACGGCGTCAGCGACAGCAGCCAAAACCAAAAAGGACACCACCAACAGTTCGGGTTGAGGCGGGGCCCAGCCGCTTTTAGCGTGGGTTTTGTTTACCAAACAGCGCGTTGATTTAATTGCCAGCCCGAGGGCAGTTGACGAAATCCAACGAGTGCAACGAGTGGTAGCTAAATTACGGCCAAAGGTACAGGTACACACGGTACAGGTAACAGGTACAGCTAACGGTAAAGCCTGGCCAGTGGCCAGTGGCCAGTGGCCAGTTCGTGTTGCGTCTAGGTGTGCGTGCATAAAAATTACCATAAATCTGAGGTGTGTGCCTAGCCTTTATATGCGCCCTGGTGAACTTGAAGCGCTCAGTTTGTGTTGAGTTGACGTGCCGCGCAGTCGAATCCTTACGCTCTGCGCTCCTTCAGCGTGCCATAAATTTATTTCGAATTTCGCGTCGCAATTGACCGCTCGCGTGTGCCTGTGTGTGTGCGTGTGTGTATGTGTGCCATGCGGCAGAAGCAGGCTAAACCGACTCGAGCGCAATCAGTCCAAGTGTTTAGAGCCTGTGCCCAGCCATGGTGCGACGCGCCTCGAGCGTGCCGCATCTGAACAATAGCGGTGGCAGCAGCGCCGATAGCGTCAATGCACGCGCTCGTGCTCCGGCTGGCGTTGCCGGCGCAGCGGGACGTGGCAGACGGGGCAACAATGCCGCCGGCAAGGCAACAACGCCGACGCAACAGCGCCAGAGCTCCGGCAGCTCGGGCAGCGGCAGCCGTGTGCCGCGCTCCCGCAGCCTGACCAACGGCATGCGGCGACTCAGCCCGCAAAAGGTCGGCAGCAGCGGAAGCGGCACGGGCGGCAGCTCACGCAATACGCCGTACTTTCTGCGTGCCCGTGAAAACGAGTAAGTCACGGTGTGGCTGTGTGTGTGTTTTGGAGAGAAGCACTGTGATGCTTCTCACCGTAATCAATAGCTCGAGAAAAGTACAGTAAATATTGCCTAAGTGTGCTGCATACTCAAAAAGATTGCCCGGCTTCAGACTGAGCGAAAAGAAGTGCGTGTAAAGCGTTTCACCTGCTGACTCACAGCGGAAACTCCGGCGCAGTCCGGGAATAAATTCAAATAATTGTTCTCGCAATGGTTATAGCCTATACGACTTACCTGGCACTTCGAGCTGTTCAGTTTAATATCTGTTCAAAATTCAAATAAATCGTTTTTATATACCAATCCTAAGCCTTCTTAACTAACACTTGAAATGCTTTACGCATTGTTTTTCAACACTGTTTTCACTTGAAGCTGTTCAAAAAACTTCCCCTTGGATTAATAAAATATATATATATATCAATAATTAAATGCAAATACTTAAATTTATAAAATATGTATTTAAATTAAATAAAAAACACTTAATAATTCAAATATTTATTTTAATTAAATCAAAATAAAATATATATTTAAAAATTTTAAAAAATCCTCAGGCTAATAAAATATATATTTAAATGAAATACAAATAAAATAAAATAAAATAAAATATATATTTAAATTAAATAAAAATTTGACATATATATGTAATTTAAATAAACATATATAAAAGTCCTTGGGCTTATAAAAAATATATTTAAATTGAATAAAAATAAAATACATATTTAATTTAACTTAAAATTTGACTAATAACGTATTCAATTTAAATAAACATCTATAAATTAATAAAATATATAATTAAATTAAGTCAAAATCTTTAAATTAATAACAATAGCAAAAAAAACGCTGCTTGAAACTAGAATCTTAAATGGTAAAAGATGGTTTCTGCTCAGTTTCAAACAAATTAAAACAAATTCTGATCTCGTGCTAAGTGTGAAGCCCTACTATAAAATATTTATTAACCTAAAATGATATAGTTTTGCGTATAAAGGTCAATTCTAATTTTTCTATAACTCAATTGGTATTATACCCTATTATTTTAAGATATTTAATGGCATACTTCTGAGAGCTGACGTAGCCTAAAAGCCTTGGCAAGTGCAGAAATGACACGCATTTAAATATTTATAATTCCGCATATAAATGATTTGTTGGCCAAGTTATATATTTGCATCAATCCATTTGCCCGCTGGGCAACGAGTTATAAAACTACTTAATAACCTGACCAGGGGCTAGCAACCCTTGATGAGGCACCATTAAAAAAAAAAAAATAGAATACGGAAGAGGGTGGCATAGGCACAGGCACATGCACTAGGCGTAATGACCACGCACAATAAACTGACAGAGAGGGGGGGGGGGGGGGGGGGGGGGGGGGGCAATCAAATGGACAGACAGACGGACAGACGTAAGGATAGACAGATAGACGGACAGCTCGGACGTAGAGTTTCGTTCAATTGGTCATGTTTTATATTTAAACAATTAGTGGCGCTCTCGTTGTATTGAGTCGGAGTTTTGGCTGCGAGCACGACATAAATCGATTTTGTAATTACAATCCTGTACGGCCGTGTCCAGTCGGGTCCTGCATGACCCGCATTGAGAGCGAAAGTGACATATTTATGTTTGGCATTCGAGCTGTTTGGCTAGGCATTGTCGGGGCACAGTGATAGTGACAGCCAAGTGCTGCCCATTTATTCTATAGTTTCAGTCAGTCGCAGTTAAGGTTAAGAACCTGCCAGTTCCTTGGGTTAAGCTCGTGGCCAATGGCCAGGCCCTCTGCTGCCAGGTAATTTAATTGATTGGCAGCAGCTAAATTGGGGCTATAACAATTATTATAACCTATATCCGGTGCTACAAATTCCAATAAAAAGCCTGTGCTACGAATCGCAACAACAGCCCGTTACATATCCTTGTAAGGGGTTTGAACTAGGCATTGGTTCAAACCTTTGCTTTGGTATTGGAGTCTACCTCAAAATGTATGATTCGGCTGCTGTAGGAGGCATTTCCTTTGCTTAAAGGTTCGGTTTAGAGCTAGAGCATTAATGGCAATGCGTGGTTTGAACCAGCACGGTTCAAACCCGATTTGCAGACTTGCTTACGTCTCGGTCTTATCTATGGAGCTCTTAATAAGAACAGAGCAAATTCAAAGAGATGCATTTTTGTTATTACTAAACGTTTAATACTTTATTATCACACATTGGCTTAGATTTCACTGCTCTCTCGCATCATTAGCGCTCCTTAGAGTTGAATTTGAGTTGGATTGCATCATAAATTATTCATGCCACATTGACTTAATATCTGGGATACGGCACCTGCTATTCGCTATTGAATTTGGCATGTGATTCAAATGTTTGTGCTGTGCAGATTTCGTGCCATATAAATATTGTATGTTCACTTAATGTTTATCCTTGTTGTTTTGGTATTGTTTGCACAACAAATAAAATGTAACGACCACCAATTGAGTCAACGAGCCAAGCGCAACAACAACAAGCTGCAACTCTCACTTTTATTTGCGCTTGGTTTTTTCATACATATAGAAAATGCATATACATATATATATATATATATGCATGCATATCTGTATAATCGTCTGGGTATATATCTACTAATTCCCAGCTCGTGCAATGCAAAAGTTTAGGCAACGAAATGTCAATTCTGATTATCTGTGGCACAAGTCCGTGTCCCCGTTGTTCCATGAATAATTATGACCTAACCCCCCGTGTTGTGCATGACAAAAGAAAAAAACAATAATAAAATAAAAACAAGTTAAAGTGCTCTAGAAGGGAGTAGGCGGCGGGTATATACTCGTTTTAAGCATTTCTTTTTGGCACATGGAAAGCTTCTTTCTAGCTTATTAACAAACTATTGGAAGACGTTCTGGTATAACTCGGGTTTTGATCGAAGGATCTGTATGAAAATTTCAGGGCTTAAATATGACAACAAAATATGAGTAAATACTAAAGAACAAGACTCTAGCTTAAGTAATGGCTTTTATATTAATCTAAGAAGAAAAG